GAGAAAACAGAAAGGAGAAAAAAGGCTTAATGATTTCAGTGTCTCTGAATGTCAACTAATCAGCATCAGCCATCCAGAATTCACCACCTATGAACTTAAATTCAATTAGGAGAAATCCTCTATTTAAAGACTAAGTGGGGAGGGGGAGAGATAAGTATAATACTCAAAGTAGTCTATCTTTGTTAAAATAAATGTATAAAATAAAAATATAAATACCTACATATTTTTGTGGACTCAGAATAATAAGAAGTGGTTAATTGGTAATGGGATAATAGATTATTTTATGTAATTTTATCTATAATTTTGGTTTTCAAGTTTTCTGTGAAGTAAATGAGTTACTTTTCCATCAGTAGGAAATCTTAGGAAATTGTTTTAACTTACTTTCCAAAATGAGTTTGTCCTGGGTGCAGGCCTCCACTCTGAACTGGCACACAGACTTTCTTGCATTTATGGCAGAACTTGTGCCATGAAAAATTAATCGTTTTACACCATGGGCAGTTCCAGTTCTCTCTATTGTAGCGTGAGGCAGACATCCCCTGGTGCTGGAATTCTGAGGCTCTTATCCCTTTTGCTTGCTTGGCCTTCTGCCCCTGAGGCTGTTGTTTCTCTGGGCATGTGGGCATCAGTGGACCTTTTCCTAGGCCATGGCTTTTGCTGTTCCCCAGGGAGTGGTACCCCTGGGGCATCACTGGACCTTTTTCTTGGCCCTGGCTCGTGCTGTTCCCCAGGAGATACTTCTTCTGTGGCATCACTGGATATCCCCTCTGGTCAGACAGGGAAGCCATCTTCTTCTGGGCCCCCACTGCAGCACAGAAGCCAGGAGGAGGTGTCTTGGGTACTGCGGCTGCTGTCACAGTTCCTGCCACTGCACCTTCTGCTTTCCTGGCTATTGATGATTGAGGTGTCAGGTATGAAAATCCCTTTGGAAATGGCGCACGGACTGGCAATGGATGTGGTGCTGGTATTGGCAGACGCGGTTGTACGGCCTGGGCCCCGGCACTTGGGTTTCCCGACAGGTAAAGCTTAACCCCCAGAGTTGCCATCTGGGTTTTCAAATGTGGCATGTTATGTGCCCCTGTAGCCACCATCTTGCCCTGCTTCTCTGCATTCATGGGCCATGGTGGGGCCCTACCCAGCTGGTCTCTCCTCACAGGCTGGACTACCTGAGGCAGTGGGTTGGTGTGAGTGGATATCTCCACCTGGAGCAGTCTCTGGCACAACATATCACGTTCGTCCTTAGCCTGCCGGAGGACAGCCAGTATACTTTGTAGCTCCGAGGCCGCCTGGTCCCGCTCCCTGAGCAGCTTACGAAGCTGAGCAGCAAGAGCCCAGGAAACTGTCTTGTGCTCCTCCACCTGGTCCTGCAGCTGCTGGATCCTGTGCTTTTGATGCTCGTACTGCCTCGCGGCCACGCGCACTCCCAAAGCGAGCGCGCTCCAGGTGCTGGCCCTCTGGCGCATGCGCGGTACCTGCGGGTCGGTCAGGACGGCCTGAAGTCGGTCCTCGATTTCGTTCCAGGACTGCGAGCGGAGGGTCGTGTAGAAATCAGGGCCGCCCCCGTTCAGGAGGACTTCATTGTTGATGAAACTGATCACCTCGTTGTGGCGGAACCCGCCGGCACAGTCTCCAAAATTCGCCGCCATGGCCGCTGAGGCCTAGTCAACCGCCCACCTCACCGGCAACGAGGCCGCGCCGCCGCCACCACCAACCGTCAAAAATAAAAGCTTTGGCTGCCAATCCGTGCGCCCCTCACCTCCCAGTTCAGTCTTAGTCCAGCCCCAGCAAAGTCCCGGCTTCGGCCTCGGCCTCGGCCTGGGCCTCTTTCGTACCTCACGCCCTCCTTCTCCTCACACCAACTCCGACCAGGCGACTGGGTGACGTCACAGCGACCAGCTAGGAGTCTTGCCACAAGGCCTTCTGGGACCAACCTTCCTTAGACATCGCCCCCTACGGAGGGAACAGACAGGATGCACCGGGTATTGCAGTGTGCCCAGATGACCACTAGGGGTGCTGTGGAACTCTTGGAGACACTAAGAGTGATCACTCAGGCACCCACACACAATATACTCCTTGTCTAAAAGGAAGGATGAATCAGAGGAGGTCAGAGAACTTATGGGGGAGGGCGGTGTCGAGGTGGAGAAATCGGGTTGCAGGGTCCCAGATTCAGAGAGGTTAAGTAGTGTGCAAGCCTGAAGTATATATATCTAAACCCAGAAAACGGGCAGAACAGTTTCAGAGAAACTTGAGAGAGAAAGCTAAACTGGCGAAGACGATGAGGCTGCATGTTGGGGCAGCAGTAAGAACCAGCTGAAGGAGAGCAGAATGTGACACCCAAAATATGCGAGTTTGGCATATTGATTATTTTGAATTAAAGTTACTTAGGGAGTAGCTGGAGCAAGAAGGACACACTGACCATCCTTTGTCCCCCTAAAAGCAAAAAATAGATCTCCCACGTGAATAGAAGGACATGCCAGGAGGCTAGAAGACATCCTTATCACCAGAAATACGGAATTTACAGCTAAAAAGGCTGTATAAGAAAACCTTGTTACTTCTTCACCAATTTACTACCTCACACCCAAACCTATTTGTTTTGTCAATTCTTTACAAATGTACTGTTTTTTGTCTAAAAGTCACACAACTGCCTGTTTCAGTCACGTTTTTGAGTCTCATTTTTTAAAAATTTGTTCTTATTTTTTTCAAATACAGTTTACATTTAATGTTATTTTGTATTAGTTTCAGGTGTACAGCATACTGGTTACACATTCATAAACTTTACAATGTGATGCTCCCTATATTTCAATATCAACCTGGCACCACACATGATTATTACAATATTGTTACTAGATTTCCTATGCTGTACTTTAGATACTTGTGACTGTTTTGTAACTATCAATCTCTACTTCTCAATCTCTTCACTTTTGCAGTCAGTCCCCCAACACCCCATCCCTCTGGCCACCATTAGTATATTCACTGTATTTATAAGTATCTTTCTGGCCCTAACAGGTTTGGCTCAGTGGATAGAGTGTCAGCCTGCGGACTGAAAGGTCTCAGGTTCGATTCCGGCCAAGGGCATGTACGTTGGTTGCGGGCACATTCCCAGTAGAAGGTGTGCAAGAGGCAGCTGATCGATGTTCCTCTCTCATCGATGATTCTAACTCTCTATCCCTCTCTCTTCTTCTCTGAAAAAAATCAATAAACTTTATTTTTTTTAAAAAGTATCTTTCTGTTTTGTTTGTTCATTTATATTGTTTTTTAGATTCCATATGTAAATGAAATCGTATGGTATTTGTCTTTTTCTGACTGGCTTAGTTAACTTAGTGTAGTGTCCTCTAGATCTATACATGCTGTTGTAAATTATAATATTTCATTTTTTATGGCTGAGTAATATTCCATTGTTGTATGCATATCACTTTTTTATCCACTCTTCTACTGATGGGCATTTGGTCTGCTTCCAAATCTTGGCTATTGTAAATAACACTGCAATGAACATAGGGGTATATATATTCTTTTGAATTAGTGTTTTTAGTTTCTTCAGATAAATACCCAAAAGTGGAATAGCTGGATCATGAAGCAATTCCATTTTTTTTATTTTATTTAGGAACCACATTACTGTTTTCCATAGTGGCTGCACCAATCTGCATTCCTGCCAACAGTGCACAAGCATTCCCTTTTCTCCACATCCTAGTGAACACTTATTTGTTGATTTATTCATAATAGCCATTCTGGGAGGTGTGAGTTGATATCTCATTGTGGTTTTAATTTGCATTTCTCTGATGGATGAGGTTGAGCATCTTTTCATATATCTATTGGTCATATGTATGATCTCCTTGGAGAAGTGTCTATTCAGGTCCTTTGCCTATTTGTTTTTAAATATATTTTTATTGATTTCAGAGAGGAAGGAAGAGGGAACAGACATACATCAATGAATGATGAGAATCACTGATCGGCTGCCTCCTGCACACACCCCACTGGGGATCGAGCCCGCACTCGGGGCATGTGCCCTTGACCAGAATCGAACCTGGGACCTTTTAGTCTGCAGGGTGACGCTCTATCCACTGAGCCAAACCAACTAGGGCTGCCTATTTTTTAATTGGATTGTTTGATTTTCTGCATTGAGTCATATTAATTCTTCATAAATTTTATTAACACCTTATCAGAAGTATCATCAGCAAATATCTTCTTTCTTTAAAAAAAAAGAGAATAATTTATTGATTTTTAGAGAGAGAAAAAGGGAGAGGAAGAGAGAGAAACATCGACATGAGAGTGAAACATGGATCAGCTGCCTCCTGCACACCTCCTACTGGGGATCAAGCCCACAACCCTGGCATGTGCCCTGACCAGGAATCCAACAGGCAACCTTTCAGTGCATGGACAATGGCCAACCAACTGAGCAACACAGGCCAGGGTGGCAAATATATTATTTCATTCAGTGCGTTGTCTTTTCTTTCTTTCTTTCTTCCTGTCTTTTTTTTTTTTTGGCACAAACACAAAATTCTTTATTCACATTTTAGACAGTGTTTGAGTAGATTGAGTTTCAAGAACATTTACTATAATTTTTGAACTCAGATTTGAGGGTTTTTTTGTTCTGTTTTTTTAACTATATTCAAGCTCTGGGTATTTTACTTACAGAATTTTTCATGTAGCCTACTTGTTTCTACACAAAGGTAAAATACTATTTGTATTGCTTAATTTCCCATTATTTGTTGTTTCAACATAATTTTGTACCCCCAGTCATCTCATTGTTAGTCTAAGGCAGGAGTGTGGAACTTTTTTTCTGCCAAAGGCCATTTGGATACTTATAACATCATTCATGGGCCATTCAAAATTATCAACTTAAAAATTAACCTGCTATATTTGGTCAAACATTTAATTAACTCACCCCAAATGCCTTGGCAGAGCCAGACCAAATGATTTTGAAGACCTTCTATGGCCCTCGGATGGGACTTTCTCCACCCCTGGTCTAAGGTTATATTTCTTTCACTCTCAGCCTTTTTTGGGCTTCATTTTCTCTCTTTATGTTCTTGAGTATAGCTTCGAGGTGTAGAGTTTTCCTCCCCAAGATCCACAACTATTACCTCCCTAAAAATATCACTCCTTTTAAAGGTTTTTGTTGTTATCAATAACTATGTAAGAGTTCCAGTGACAGGTATGTGTGGTTTTTGCAAATCATCTTGATAATATTTTTTTTAACATACTAAGGGTCTTGCTTCTCTTTTATTTTGACCTCCATTTTGCCTTCTATGTCCTCTTTGTTATCTAAGTGTATGATCACCATTTCTTGGCTCCATCTCTGGACAAGAATGCCAGGCCTCATGATTTGCCTTATGAGAGTCTTTTTTTGGGTCTCCTGAATTGCATGTCTCCATATTATCAGTTAAATAATCTTCACTAGGAGCTTTTTCTGTCTCATCATCTTTCTTGGCTTGGGAACTAACAAGCCTATCCTGCCCCAGACATCAGAGCTTCACTATCCACTCAGTCTCCTAAGCCAAAAATCTGGAAGTCTGTACAGACTACTCTTTTCATTTTGTTGGATGGTTTCTTTTGCTGTGCAAAATCTTTTTAGTTTGATGTAGTCCCATTTGTTTATTTTTTCTTTTGTTTCTCTTGCCTGAGGAGATATATCAGAAAAAAATATTACTACAAGAAATGTCTGATATTTTACTGCCTATATTTTCTTCTAAGAGCTTTATCGTTTCAAGTGTTACATTTAAGCCTGTAATCCAGTTTGAGTTTATTCTTGTGTATGGAGTAAGAAGGTGGTCTAGTTTCACCTTTTTGCACATATCTGTCCAGTTTTTCCAACACCATTTATTGAATAGTCTGTCTTTACCCCATTGTATTTTCTTGTCTCCTTTGTCAAATAGTAATTGACCATACAGGTGTGGGTTTATTTCTAGGCTCTTCATTCTGTTTCATTGATCTATATGTCTTTTTTTATATGCTAGTACCATGCTGTTTTGATTATTATAGCCTTCTAGTATAGTTTGATATCAGGTAGTGTGTAACTTCCAACTTTGTTCTTCTTTCTCAAGATTGCTGTGCTTTTCAGGGTCTTTTGTGGTCCCATATAAAGTTTTGGATTATTTGTCTTAGTTCTGTGAAATACATCATAGGCATCCTGATAGGAATTGCATTTATTCTATAGATTGCTTTGGGTAGTAAGGACATTTTAATAATTTTAATTCTTCCTATCCATGAGCATGATTTATGCTTCCATTTATTTGTATCTTCTTTAATATCTTTCTTCAGTGTCTTATTATTTTCCAAATACAGATATTTTACCTATTTAGTTAAATATATTCCTAGGTATTTTTTAATGCAATTTTAAATGAGATTGTTTTCTTAGTTTCCCTTTCTGGCAGTTCATTCTTGGTGTATAAAAATACAACCAATTTTTGGATATTTAATTTATATCCTGCTACTTTACTGAATTTATTTATCAGTTCTAGTAGTTTTTTGGTGGAATCTTTAGGGTTCTCTATATACAGTACCATGTTATCTGCAAATAATGTTAAGTCTCTTATGTTTATGGGGCTTTCATACATACAAATTTAAATTTGTTTCTCTCCTATTGATCCATTGCATAACAATTTCATAATTAGACCAGCCAAATAACCTAAAAGGGAAGAAGGGAAGCATTTTCTGCCCTTACACAGGCTTCTTTGTTTATTCTGTATGTGAGAGAAGGGAGAACCTGGCAGCTAAAGCTTAAAGCATCATTGAAGGCTGGCGAGGGGCACTAGAAAGAATTCTGTGATGGCTGAGTGGATAAGGAGGAAAGGGAAGGCAGACCAAAATGTTATAGGAAGCTATCAAGAACAGGCCACAGTAGGGCTGAGTGATCTGATTCAGAGAAGAGGGAGGAAGGACATTTCAGATTTCAGCATTCTAAACTGGAGTGCTGTGATGAAGATGGGACAATGTTTATGAATATGTATGGAAAAGGTGAATCATAGTGAAGATGTTGGATCTCAGATGTTTATGGGGACTTCCAGAAGATACCACAAGCCACATAGTGGGTATTTCCATTGTGGATTTGGGGAAGGGAACTTTTCAGTGTGGTTAACCAAACTAAACTAGAAGTACTTAACCATTTTTTTTGTGCCATAGACCCTCTGATAGTCTGATGAAGCTTATGAAAATCTCCTCAGCTCTTTGCTCAGCTCCTTTTATACCTCTCAGTTGCCATCCTGTCATTAAGTCTCCTACGTAGTTTCCCTCTATCTTGCTCTCACAGAAAGAATTCCCCAACTTTAAAGCTATATCCTTCACCTGTAATTTGGATCCCAGCTTCTCCCATCTCCTCAGGGAGTTCAATCCAGTCAGACCCTCTCCCTCTTTTCTCTACTTCAGCCTTTTCCTCTACTAGTTTCTTCACAATTATAGTGTAAGCATGTTCGAGCGTCTTCCATCCTGTATAATGCTTTTGTCTACATTCCTTATACCTTATTTTCCACCCATAAAACTACAGAAAACATTCTAAGGGCACTACATAGGGGTGGCACTCTCCCCTCTAATAATCCAAGTTTCTTCTAACTTGACCTTTCCGTGGTCTTTGACTCTGTTGACCACTCCCTTTTTTAAATTAAATCCTCCCTTTTATTCTGTGACACTGAAGTCTATTCATTTTTTTTTTCTCTCTGGCTCTCTTTTCAGTGTGGTTTTACACCCACTACATTAGAAGTACTTAACCCTTTTCTGTGCCATAGACCCTCTGATAGTCTGGTGAAGCTTATGAAACTTTTCTCAAACTACCACTTTTAAATAAACATAAAAAATGCATATGCCCTAGCCAGTTTGCTCAGTGGATAGAGCATCAGCCTAGGCTTTGAAGGGTCCTGGCTTCAATTCTAGTCAAGGGCACATGCCCGGGTTGCAGGCTCGATCCCCAGTAGGGAGTGTGCAGGAGGCAGCCAATCAATGATTCTCTCTCATAATTGATGTTTCTCTTTCTCCCTCTTCTTTCCTCTCTGAAATAATAAAAATATATTTTAAAAAATAAATAAATAAAATAAAATGCATAGGGTTACAAAGAAACTAAATGTATTTAATTATAGCTATCAAACTATTTAAAAATTGTGACATAGTAAAATACATCTTCATTAAAACATTAAGTAACAAGATCTATTGGCAGGTTCAATAACTATTCTAATTTTCAACCACTGATGATCATGATATTTTGAGATATCTGCAAGAACTAAATGAGATTTCTATTGATGAAAAAGTGCCAGGTACTGCTAATACAATTGTGGGTGTTTTTTTTAACTTATGTTGATAATTGAAGGAAGTGCTAAATTTCAGTAACAGAGTAGTGGAAATAAAGAGGTAAAAATTTTGCTAGGGTGGTGTGGCTCAGTGGTTGAGCATCAACATATGAACCAGGTGGTCACGGTTTGATTCCCAGTCAGGGTGTATGCCTGGGTTTCAGGCTCAGTCCCCATTGTAGGGTGTACAGGAGGCAACTGATCAATGATTCTCTCTCATCATTGATGTTTCTATCTCTCTCTTCCTCTTTCTTCCTGGCTGAAGTCAAGATGCTACCATTGTGCCCTAGCTGGTTTGGCTCAATGGATAGAGCATCAGCCTGCAGACTGAAGGGTCCTGGGTTCAATTCTGGTCAAGAGCACATGCCCGGGTTGCAGACTCAGGCCCCAGTAGGGGGCGTGCAGGAGGCAGCCGATCAATGATTCTCTCTCATCACTGATGTTTCTATCTCTCGCTCCCTCTCCCTTCCTCTCTGAAATCAATAAAAAATATTTTTTTTAAACATTTTTTTAAAATATGTTTTTATTGATTTCAGAAAGGAAGGGAGAGGGAGAGAGAGATAGAAACATCAATGATGAGAGAGAATCATTGATCGGCTGCCTCCTGCACACCCCAAACTGGGGATTGAGCCCGCAACCTGGGCATGTGCCCTTGACCAGAATCCAACCTGGGACCCTTTGGTCCGCAGTCCGACACTCTATCCACTGAGCCAAACCAGCTAGGGCAATAAAACTATATTTTTTAAAAAGGTATTACCATTGGAGTAAATTGGATGAAGGTTACACAGGACTTTTCTGTATTGTTCAACTACTTATGAATCTACATTTACCTTAATAAAAAATTAAGCTAAAAAATTTATACTCCAAGTTAAGAACCTTTGCACATCAAGATCTTGATGTAGTGTTTCCCAAAGTGTTTTTGAACATGTGTTCCATGGCACATGAAAGGTATTGGGAAGTCAAGAAATATTTTTTATAAAGCTTTAACTCAGACTTGTTCAAGCATACACACACACACACACACAACTTATTTTTACTGAATACTTATTAGTATCTCAAATGGGCTTGCATTCCACAGAATCCACTTTGAAGGTGCTGCCTTGTTATCACAGGATCATGTCAGCCTTCATCACAACGACCCATGAAAACCATTCAAAACAGCATTTGAATTAGGACAGCAATTTCCAACCAGCGTGCTGCAACCCACTGGAATGCTGCAAGAATTTTTAAAACATGCAATACCTGACCATTTTGTCAGGGGCACTGACCTCTTTTCCCTTAGATTGTCAAATAAAAAAATGAAAACGGCCAACATACTAATATCCATCTAGTGCAAATAAATCAAAATTATACCAATATTTTTGTCAGATCAGTAAAAAACATATTATAGTAAACCCTGGAATTTGTGGACATTGATTTAACGGACAAAATTTTCAGTCCATATGTCATATGTAAAAATTGACAGCCTGTTCATTTTAAAATGCTTTTAACCAAGATTTGCTTATAATTAAATTAACAGGTTATTTTTGTGCTACTAATTCACTATTATTTTTAACAAATTTAAGCGAACAGGCCATATATTAGGGAAAATGCTATAGTAACTTTACTGATATAAATAAATATTACATACCTACAACTATAGTCTACATGTTTAAATCCAAGAATCATTACTTATAAACAATGTTCAGCAAATGATTGACACCGGATCACACTGCATTGCAAGCAGTAATTGGTTCTGTTGTCTCCTGGCAAGACATTCTGCAGCAGTTTTAATGCGAGCCGCAGATGTTACATGTGCGCTATGCCACATCCTAGTCGTGTGCATTTGTTTACTCCTGGTGACTGGTGAATGCACACATTTACTAGGCCTATTCAGTATAAATTTAAAATGACAGTAATACATATAGAAAACTTTTCTGTGAAATTAAACTTCTTTTACATACTTAATTTCAATTACACAAACATGTCCACATAAGTAAAAATAGGTAAACTAATTTGTCAATTTTTCAACATATGCATTTGGAAAACTTACTTTATTATATAATGG